ATTTTATTTCATTGAGTTGACATTCAACCTCTGATATCCTTTCTTCTGCTTGGTCAATTTGGCTGTTGATACTTGTGCATGCTTCACGAAGTTCTCGTGTTGCGTTTTTCAGCTCCATCAATTCACTTATATTCCTTTCTATTTTGTCCATTCTCGTTAGCATTTCATCAAATCTTTTTTCAAGGTTCTTAGTTTCTTTGCATTTGGTTAGAACATGTTCTTTAAGTTCACAGAAGTTTCTTACTACCCACCTTCTGAAGTCTGATTCTGTCATTTCATCATACTCCTTCTCCCTCCAACCTTGTTCCCTTGCTGGTGAGGAGTTTGATCCCTTGTAGGAGGAGAGGTGTTCTGGTTTCGGGTGTTTTCATCCTTTTTGCGCTGGTTTCTTTCCAACTTTAAGGATTTATCCACCTGTCGACTTTGTAGTTGCTGGCTTTCAGATTGGGTCTCAAATCTTTCAGATTGACATTCTGTTTGTTGATGATGAGGTTATTTCTGTTTCTTGGTTTTCCTTCTGACAATCTGGCCCCTCTGCTGTAGGTCTGCTGAGGTTCACTCCAGGCCCTGCTTGCCTGGGGTTCACCTGCAGCAGCTGCTGAACAGTAAGGGTTGTTACCAGTTTTCTTCTTCTGCTATCTTTGTCCCAGAAGGATACCCGCCTAGTGTCAATCTGATCTCTCCTTTATGAGGTGTCTCTTTGGATATACAGGGGTCAGGGAGCTGCTTGAGGAGATGGTCCCTTCTTTATAGGAGCTCAAATGGTGAGCTGTGAGCTCTGTTGTTGTTCATTCTGAGCTGCTGGGCAGGTACATTTAGGTCTGCTGCAGCAGAACTCATAAACTGCTTTTGTTCCCAGGTGCTCTGTCCCAGGGATTTAGGGCTTTATTTATGAGTTTCCATTATGCTACTGCCTTCTTTTTTTTTTCCTTCAGACCTGCCCTGCCCAGCAAGGAGGCAGCCTAGTCACTGTTTGCCTGTAGAGGCTTTGCTGAGCTGCTGTGGGCTCCGCCCAGCTGCCAAGTGAACTTCCCTGCAGTCCTCTTTATATGGGTGTAGTTAGAACTGCTTTGGCGATGGTGGCCCGCCTCTGTTGAGGCGGAGTCTCTCTGCTGTGGTGGGTTGCCTTGGCAGCGGCGGGCTGCCTCAGCAATGGCGGGTTGCCTTGGCAACAGTGGGCTGCCTCAGCATTGGCCGACTACCTCTGTCGTGGCGGGCTGCCTCAGTAATGGCGGACGCCCCTCCCCCACAGAGCTGGACCGTCCCGGGTTCAGCTGCGCTGGCTGTGAAACTCTCAATCCAGAGTTTCTGGTTGCTGTTCTTTTGTGGGGGTGGGGCCAGCCGAGCATGATCGCCCGGCTCCCTGCCTCAGAGCCTTTTTTAAGTTGGTGTTCCAGTCGCCTGTTGAAGAGGCGCGGGGTCTGTTTGTTTTCCCCTGCGGCCACTAACTGCGCTGGCTTAAACAGCGGCACTGAGGTTTGTGGCGCTTTTTTTTTTTTCTTGCGCTGGAATCTACTGTCCTGGTTCTCTGTTCAGTCCTCTTTTTAAACAGACGAATGGGCGACTTCCCGTGGCTCCAATCGCCAGCCAAGAGGGCACCCGGACCGGTGTATTTTGTACGGATAACCGCGGCTCCGGGGCGCGGACAAAGCAGCCGCGCGGGGCAAAGCAGCCGCGCCGGTGTCGGCGGAAACAGCCGCGCTGGTGACTGTGGAGCTCCTCCGCCTGGGAATTTCCTAGTCTGTGGGCAATAAAAATGCGGCGTCCACTCACCCTCTGCACTTTCACTTGGAGCTGCAATCCTGAGCTGTTCCTAAACGGCCATCTTGGATCCTCCTCCAATTAATATTTTTTGAGCACCTTACTGATCAAGGCACTTGGCCAGGGGCCGAGAGAGAGACAAAAAGAAAACATAGATTCTGCCTCCAGGTCCAATAAGATGGTGCAAAATAGGAAAAGTCCCATCAAAGTATGTATAAAGTGCTGTAACAGTTTGAAGAAGCCTCAGAGAATTTTAGGCTTAAATTATCAAAATTAAGCTTTGAAGAATGAATGCAGTTGAGAGGAAATTATCTGAGATGGGAGGAATGGCAATGAGCAAAGGTATGTTCTGGACAAGAAACACGAATTTAGTTTATTTAAAACTATTATACCTTATAAAAATAGAATAGGAGGGGTAAGGCAAGAAAAATGTACCAGCTCAGGAAGAGTCTTTGAAGCCAGGCAAAGGAGTTTGGGCTTATTTGGCAAGAAAGGGAGAGGCAGTGAGAGTTCAGGATAGGAGGAGTGAATAATTAGAGCTGAGACTCAGGATAAACAATGCCACTTGCTTTTCCTCTTACCTACCCACTTCACAGAAACCTAAGTTAGAAGTTATCTCCAGGTGAATTATTCTGACCAGACCTGACCCTTCCAACACTACCTCTTCTCCTATATGGTTCTGCTACTAAAGGTTTCCTTCCTTGAAATCAAAACATTTATTCTGCTTTTCTTTTGCTCCAATTGTTTGATTAATTACTTGGACACTAGACTTCTTGCTTAAAACATTGACACTTTTCACTCCAAACGCACCTATCTCCAAAGTCAGAAGTAAAAAGGCTCTTTTCCCCCAAATCCTCAAACCAGAAAATAGCCACACCACCATCACTATCACCCTCTAACTCTTTATTACATTAGGTTAGAAGGTCTGAGGCCTCCTCATCAACTTTTACTGATTCTCCTGCTTCATCGCTTTGCCCAATCCTGGACATTCAGCCCCACCTGCATCATGACATCATCTTATTTTGAGACTAAAGGAGGATTTCACTTCCAGGTTTTCCATTAGGGCAAAGAGATTTTTAAATTACAGATTCAAGGGACGACTTGCTGAGCAATGACCACAAATCTCTTTTTTTTTTTTTTTTTTTTTTGCCTTCTTCAACTGAGGAGAGAGCACAACTCTCTTTTGTTCTAATTTCCTTCTTTTCTTTCTTTTTTTTATTTTTATTTTCTGGAGATGGAGTTTTGTTCTATCCCCCCAGGCTGGAGTGCAGTGTCACAATCTCAGTTCACTGCAACCTCTGTTTCCTGAGCTGAAATGATCCTCCTGCCTCAGCTTCCCAAGTAGCTGGGACTATAGGCATGTGCCACCATGCCCGGCTAATTTTTTTTTGTATTTTTGGTTAAGACGGGGTTTCACCATATTGCCCAGGCTGTTCTTGAACTCCTGACCTCAAGTGATCCACTCGCCTTGGCCTCCCAAAGTTCTGGAATTACAGGCATGAGCCACCATGCCCCGCCTATGTTCTAATTTCCCATTGTCCAGATGCCACAGTATGTATCAAGTGAAGCCTTCCTTATTCCCATAATCAATTAATTATCCATTCTCTACAATATGCACCTGACTAGATTGTTTTATTAAGTGAAGTAGGGAATAAAATAGTAAGAGCTTGCCTTTAACAAGTACCTACCATAGAATAGGCATTTTGATAAGTGGCTGACAAGCATAATCTCATTTTACCTCATAACACTGAAGTAGATGCTATTATTATCCCTGTTTTGCAGATGGAGGAATGAAAGCCCAAGAAAATTAAGTAATTTGCCCAAGTTCCCACACACAGTTTGTAAGTGGTAGAACCACGATTTAATTAATTTATTAACTTTTGAGACAGAGTCTCACTCTGTCACCCAGGCTGGCGTGTGATCATGTCTCACTGCAGCCTCGACCTCCTGGGTTCAGGAATTCCTCCTGCTTCAGTGACCCCAGTAGTTGGGCCTATAGGTGCTCACTGTCATATGTGGCTAATTTAAAAATTTTTTTTAGAGGTCTTGGACTCCTGGGCCCAAGTGATCCTCCCACCTTGGCCTCCCAAATTGCTCAGATTACAGGTGTGAGCCACTGTGTCTGGCCAGACATCTTATTCTTACTAGATTTGTATTATTCTGTCCTTTGAATTTTGAATGTCCCTTCCTGTTGTCCATGAGTTTTTCATACTGCTTTTCAGTTTACAGTGCTCTTTTGTGCATATTACTCGAACTCTTCCCCAAGTCCCCTAAAGTTGCTATTAGTATTCATGTTTTCCAAATGAAGAAGCTGGTGAGTGCTCAGAAACACTGTATGATGAAGGCTCAAGTTAGAGATATCAGGTCATTTGGTTAAAGATGTGGTGGCCAGGCTGGGCAACATGGGGAAACCCCATCTCTACAAAAATAAATAAATAAAAACAAAAAAATAAAATTACCCAGGCGTGCTATTGTACATCTGTAATCCCAGCTACTCAGGAGGCTGAGGCAGGAGAATCACTTAAACCCAGGAGGCAGAGGTTGTGAGATCGTGCCACTGCACTCCAGCCTGGTGACAGAGCAAGACTCTGTCTCAAATAAACTGTTAAATAAATAAAGTAGTGGTGGATCTAAAATAAGGGCAAGGTGAGAAATTTTAAAAAGAAAATAAAGAAAGTATGGTGGAGCTACGACTTAAATTCTGGTGTGCTAACTCCAAAGCTCACCCTTTCTTCACCATGTTCCAGGGCTCCTCCCCTAGGTCTCTACCATCAGTATACACGGCTCGGTCTTTGCACTCCCCCTTCACGGCTTGCACCTAAGGCGCTGATTTAATTATGGGCAGATGTATACTCGCTGCTTACACGTGCACCTCTCCCTGTAATACGAGCCTCCAGAAGGCAGGGACAATAAGTCGGGTGGTTTGGAATTCCTTCAAGCGCCAGCACGGGGCTGGGGCCTGTACACGACTGATGTGAATGAAATGTAAGGAAAGCTTAGCGCTGGATCTCACCTCCTGAACACTATCGACAGGACAGGGTCTGGCTCATCGCTATATCCTTTACAGCCTTCTGTTTTCCAGCCTTCTGCACAAAGTAGGAGCTCCACATCAGTTTCTTGGCACCCAGGTACTAAGACAAAAAAGAAAAATGAAAAACGAAACAAAACAAAACTTCGGTTTCCCCACTTTTCTCAGAACGTAAAGCGAAAGGGGGAGGGACGGGCACGCAACTCCTCACCTGAGGGCTCAGCAGGGTCCTCAGGTGCTTCAACTGCCTGACGGGCAGCTGTCTCTCAGATGCTGCCAGACACCGACAACTCTCGTGGTTACCTGGACAACCCGCCACGCAGCCGCAGCGACAGCCGCGGACGCTTACGCGACCGGAGCGCAACACGCGTCGCAAGGTCACACGTAGCTCTGCGGCGAAGCAAACAGAACGTGCGCAAGCGCGGTGACATCTGGGGCAGGCCCTTGAGAGGCCGTGATGAATGCTCTTCTTTTTTTTTCTTTTCTTTTTTTTTAACTTAAAACGGGGTTTCACCATGTTGGTCAGGCTGGTCTTGAACTCTCAACCTCAGGTGATCCGCCCGCCTTGGCCTCCAAAGTGCTTGGATTACAGGCGTGAGCCACCACTCCTGGCTGAATGCTCTTCTTAACCAATCCTGTCGCCGCATGCCAACCCAAGATCAAGCCCCGCCCACAAGCCTTCGGCCAGCCCTGGGTCCTACGTCATCGCGGTCCGTCTCGCTCCTTGTCATACCTGACTGTTGCTGAGTGCACTCTTTTAATCCTCACAACCCTGGAGGAAAGCTGGGCGGTTGCTATGATAGGCCTTTGGCAGTTGACAGAATTGTACCTAAATAGGTTAGTTACATGACTTGCACGAGATCGCAAGGCTAATAATTACAGTTAACCATTAATGCTCAGTATGTGTCTGCCAGGTACTATGCAAAGTGTTACACATGCATTTATGTCATTTAATCCCAAAACCGCCTTTTGAAGGGGATAGCGTCATTATTAGTCTCATTTTACATAACAGGAGACTCAGGGCACTTGCTCAAACTAACACAGTCAGCAAAGGACTTGGAACTGGGATTCAACCCAGAGTTGGCAACTTTAAACACCTTTTATGTTCCTTCTCAACTCCTAGCTCTCTCTCTCCATGCCATAATACTATAACCTGTGACACTCCCATTCCAATAAATGATGATATTTATTCTCAGAATCTGAGAGATGAGTGTTTTGGAACCAGCTGCCAGAGAAACGTAAAGTGCCCTACTTCCAAATTGGGTAAGGGTGGGTTAAAGACTGCTGTTTACATTGGAATGCTTTTATGGTTCAGTTTTGAGGACAGACCAGACTTGGCTCACCTGATAGTTGTCTTGTGATACCCGGGGTTGGAGGCTGGTTAGGTAGAAAAGATATTGACTTGTTGATCTTTGTTTGGATTGGAGTTCCTTTCCGAATTTTTGGCCTATCTTCTAACATACCAGAGATATTGAAATGCAGAAAAGGAGTTATAAGCCTGCTCTGAAATGATCCAAAGCCGGGAAGATCCGTGACTCTCCAGAAAGTGTAGCATATGTTCTCTAGGAAGATTGTGGGTCCAGAAGCCTACCTCCACAGTGGTTGCAAATGTCAACAGGTGTTTGTCTCATGGCCACCAACCACCCCTTAGAAAATAGGAAAGAGTAGAGGAGAGCCTCTATTTTCATAGGAAACAAGGAGGCCTCAGAGCTCAAATGATAATTCTTTTGACAGGGGAGTCCCAACCCCTCAGTTTTATTTTCAGAATCTTCCTCTGGATATGGTGGCAGAGCATGAATATAAACTCATTTATGATTTACAGTTATTATTGACTTTGACGAAACAGAGACAGAGAGGAAAGGGAATGCAAAGGAGGGAGGAACAGACACAGGAACACATAGGATAGGAGCATGTGGCACCAGGAATCCACGAGTGTAGCTGTCGGTTCATTAGTCCCTAAGACACTGCTTAGTCCTTATCTGACCATTAGCCCAGGGTTGATGGAGGAGTCAGAAGAATAAGTGGTGAGGAGCTGTGCTGTTGATGCGAGCAGTGAAGATACAAAAACTACTGCCCTCTCATATGACATGCCTTAGTTTCCAGTGGTCCCGGAACTTACATCTTTCTCTTGTCTTTTTCCCCTTCTCACCCAACAAAGCAACAGAATCTGGGGTTCTAGTTTTCTACACCTCTTCTTCCTGGTCCCTATCCCAGGGTGGAGTGTTATTACACCTTGCAATGAGAATCTGCTCCTGTCAAGTAGGTGGTGGTGTGAGGGGCCCTTGGAGGGTCAGGAGAGAGACGAGGTGAGGAAATGTCTTCGGCATACTATACAGTCAGCTCCAGTTTGCCCAAGAACTTTTATTGGAAAAATGTCCAAGGAGTGAGATCACTGGCAGCTGAAGGGGCTGCCAGGTGAGGGGGGAGCACCTGAGGCTCCATGGAAGACATTGGAGTAGTGCAGTGCAGTATCTGCCTCTAGGCTGCGACAATTCCTTTTGTTTGCTGGGGAAAGAGGAGTACTCACAGAAACACGGCTCTCTGAGGCCCAGAGGCAAGATGTGGGGGCAGCTGAGGCTGCTGAGAGTCCTGATACAGGTGGAATGGGGCCCCTATTTGGGACCTAATGGGATAGGGTAGAACAAGTGACTCTCCCCTGGACCAGGGGATGGGAGGAGATATCCCAACTGATATCCGCTCCCCAGGTCCAGGGGCACAGACTCTTAACAGACTGGCTCTGCTCACAGTGGAAAGAGGATGGGTACCAGGCCTGAGATTGTGGGCATGTCATTACCCTCTGGGAGTGTCCAGCAGATCACCATCTTGGGCTTTCCCTGACCCCACCCCCATCCCCAAGTTGTTAGTGCAGCTCTCTTCTGGGTGTGTTTCTTCACTCAAACGTCGATGGTGTTGATGGATGGTGACTTTTTCTGTGAAAGAAAATGGTCTGAGTCTCAGTTTCAGGAAGGTAATAGGTGCTGCCCTTTCTCTCCAGCCTCCCTCATCCCAGGTCTTCCATTTTCATCTTTTTCTGCCCCTCTTTGACCTTCTTCCTTTCCCTGGCTGCCCCTCAGGGGCAAAAGCACCCTTTCCGCCCTCACTGGCCCCCACATCACCTGTCTTGTCCCCACTGGCCTTCCCTGAGGACTCTGTTCTGGCCCCTTTCCCTTCTCCTTGGGATTGTTGTTGGAGTCGTTGTCCTTGATGATGTCATACTGACGGCAGAACAGCCCAATTACAGCTGAAACACAATACAGTCTGAGCTTTCATCTCCCCCAACAGGGAGATACCCACATAGCTTCTAGAAAAATCCATGAAGAACATCCTGAATTCCTGGTGCCCAATGCAGTCCTCCTCTCTGGGCTCTCAACAGCCTCCTCTCCCTCTCTGCAAACTTTGAATCATCCCTCCTCAACTGAGTATCTCCCCACTCCATTTCTTTCACTTCTCTTTTTTTTTTCTTTGAGACAGAGTCTCACTCTGTCACCCAGGCTGGGGTGCAGTGGCGCGATCTCAGCTCACTGCAACTTTCACCTCCTGAGTTCAAGCGATTCTCCTGCCTCACCCTCCCGAGTAGCTGGGATTACAGGCGTCCTTCACCACATCCCACTAATTTTTGTATTTTTACTAGAGATGGGGTTTCACCATGTCGGCCAGGCTGGTCTCAAACTCCTGACCTCAGGTGATCTGCCTGCCTCAGCCTCCCAGTGCTGGGATTACAGGCATGAGCCACCGCGACCGGCTCAATTCTCTCACTTCTTTTTCTCCTGACAACCTTTGCCACCTCCCACCTTTCTGAGTCCCTGGTCCCTGTCTAGCTGCTTACTCACCAGCCCACATGAGCAACACCACCACAATGATGACCACTTCCCCAGTCTGCAGTGGTCGCTCTCCATCAAGACCCTCCACTGTGATGTCACCTGAGAAGGGAGAAGGCAGACTCCAGGTTACTGGGGAGTAGCTCTCTGTGCAGACATAGGCAGGATGGAGATGCTGGGGATTAGAGAGGGCAGACCCGTCATAATGTTGCCCTTGGAGTGTAGGGTAGCCTCTCCCTGGGAGGAAGCCATTGGTAGACAGGTGGTTATCGACCAAAAAGCAGATGGCTGCAGGTTAATTACTCACCCATGCAGGCTGCAGC